ATCCTAATGGCATCCCTAGCTGGGGTCCCGATTTGCTCACTCAGTGAATTCAAGTCCATTTTAACTCCAGGGCTTCTAGAATGCGTAAGCTTTCCAGCTCTGCCCTTGTGCTGTAGGAACGTGTTCTGCACCTCCCAGCTCCCTCCCCAACCCCTGGATTGGCCTCAAGGCATTCTCCTTTCCTGTATTCATAGCCTCCAGGAATGTTACCAGGATCCCTCTGAACACCAGCTGGCTCCTTTTTGCCAGTGCTCACTTGAAAATTTTAGGGGGCTTGAAATTCCAGTTTTGCTTTCTAACTTTGAATTTGCTTTTTGGGGGAAATGTATTCTTTCCCACCTATTCTCCCTTCTATCCTGCATCCCTCTGCTCCAGACTCTCCACAACTGAAGGGTGACCAGGACCAGGTCCGTGCCCAGCCTGGCTGCCTCTTTCCTGGGAGGAGAGGCTGCTACACATGTGCGAGCCAGGTTGGGACCAAGCATGAAGCTCGAGAGGCTTTCCAGTAGAGCCCACTCTCCAGACTGACCCATTTATCATAGAGTGTGGGTACGTATGACTGTGTCCAGCTCTACTGACCATGTTCTTCATTTTGCTCACAAGACAGATGTTTGCAAATGTTGCCATGAAGTCCATTCACTAGGTCCACAGTGTTCTGCCTAATCTCCCCATCTAAAAACCCCATCAAACAAAAGGCTGAATGAGCTACACCAGGCCTGGCTTCTTCTTAGTCACTTTGTGCTTTCTCTTAGCAATCATGGCTTCATTAAATGCTAAATGACTATCCCCGTAATAATTCATCTGGAATCCTTCCTGTTCCCTAATCAGAGCTTGCAAAATCCCCAAACCCAGTAATGGATGTGAAAGCTGTCTGTCTGGAAGTGTGAAGCATTAAGGGACTGCATTCTCCTCAGAGTTTGGTAGTCTGGGAGCGTCATGGGGATGGTCTGAACCGTTCACATGTCACTGCCTGGAACGAGAGCAGAGCAGCAAGCATGTCATCAAGCCAGATTCTCCCAGAGCCTGACCACAAAGGCTGCAAGGCAGCCGTCAGGCACAGCGTGGTTACTTTTCTGGGTTAAAGTAACAGAGCGTGTCACTGGAAGGCATGTGAGTGATCATTTAGACTGGCGCTTGCCAGACATTAATGTGCACTCCAGTCCCCCGGGGATGTCAGTAGAATGCAGATGCTGACCCAACAGTCCCGGGGTGGCCCGAGATTCTGCATTTCTAACACACTCCCTGGTGATGCTCTTGGTTCACAGGCCAGACTTTGGGTAGCAAGGATTTCGACTACACTGTTTTGATTTGTCTTTTTCAGGTAAAGAAACTAAGGCCCAGTGAGATGAAGTGATTTTCCCAAAGAAACATGGATGAAGCTAGAGCTGACCCTTTAACCCAGGCCCTCTGGGGCCAGGTCAGTACCTCTCTAACCCCAGAATTGCTGGACTCAGTGAAACAGAGGTTTACTACCATTTCCTAATGACGCATAACGTGTGGGGGAGAGTCAAGATTAGATTTCAGGGTTGCGCTCACTTGCATGTACATATGCGCATGCTCATGCACACGCATGCGCACACGTGCTACGCATGCTTCTTTATATTCTCCTTCCCCCTCCACTGTGAAGTGCGGGAAGGAAACACACGGATTACAACCACGTTAAAGATATTCTTAAATGCAAATAAATTGTGACTGTGTAAATTTTTTCATAAAAATATTCCGGGAAAATACATGAATTATTTCTGACCTTTTATGTATAAATATAGAGATCCTGGAATTCTGCAAAGACCGTGTACTGATAAAACCATGTTAAAATGACCACCTCTGATAGTTTTAGTATTAAAACTCTGAGCTCGGCTCAGGGAAGTCTAAGCTCTGGCATTCATAAAGGACTCGGGAGTTTTGGAGATTTTCCATTAACTTCTAGTATTGAGGTTTTGTTGCCAACTATGACTATTTATTTTCCCTGAACTTTGTTGGGAAGCTATGCAGCTGACAAAACCCAGGCATGAAAGTGTGTGTGTGTGTGTGTGTGTGTGTGTGTGTGTGTGTGTTCACACATGTTAACTAAACAGTGCAGATTTCTGACATTTTTCTCCTTGTTGAGAAGTGGGGGAAGGAGGAAGAAAGAAATTGTCTGGAGTGGAAAAAAGGGCCAAAACAATTCTTGAAATAAAATCCCTCCTCTCCACTCTTCAGTAAAGATAATGCTAAACTGCTTAGAGAAAAATTAGGGTAACAGACTCCTATTTGGGAGGCAAACACTCATGGTGGATGAAGCCCAGTGGTGTCTCGTCCACAGCCTGCCTATCTGCTAGAGAGTAAGCTTCTGGAAGTCAGGGCTGGGTCTTCCTGATCTTTCTTTCTCTGCTTTCTTTCAAAGAGCCCCTAGACCTTGCACCCAGCAGGAGGAAAGAGTGTCTCCTGAATGAGACCCCTGGTCACCCTTCAGCATCAGGGGCCCCTGGCCAGCAGCCCTGGAAGACACATGTGTTCCTGAGAGTCCCAGCTGTGTGTGAGCTCCTGGGCAGGCAGCTGTTCCTCTGAAAGCGGTGAATCACCAATCACGGCGGTTTTTCGTTTTCTTTTTTTGCCCTTTCTTTTGGGCCCGGGGCTTCCTTTTCCCTTTCTTTTTTTTTTTTTTGGGGGGACGGTTGGAAGGCCGGCAAAGGAAAGGGAGGAAAAAGGAAGAGGGAGGAGAGATAGGAGGAAAGAGGGAGGGAAGACAGAGGAGGAGAGGAAGGAGGAGGAAGAGGAGGAGGGAGAGGGGAATGGGGAAGACTATGGGGAGGGGAGGGGTGTAAGAGGAGGGAGGAGTGGAGAGGGGAGGAGAGGGAGCAGCTGGGGCAGGAGCAGGGCCAGCTGCCTGTGCAGAGGAAAGGAGTTCAGACTCCCTCTGGCTTCCGGGCTGCCTGTTGGTCTCTCCTGTGAGTGTCAGGACACTTGTTTGCAGATAATTGAATATCTGACTTGACTGACCTGGCTTTAAAAAACCAAAAAGGATATATTGGCTCCCATCCCTGAACAGTCCAGAGATAATAGGGTTGGATGAGTTTTTAGCACTTTCTCTGAAGTTCTCTGGAAGCCCCTCCCTTGTGGGTGGGCATCCTCCTCAAGCTGTTGCCCTCCTTGTCTTAGGAAGGGTGCCACAGCAGCCCTCCTAAGGGCCTGGCCTTGCAGTAAGCCTTGCTCCAACTGGACCAGCCCAGAGCCCATCAACGTGGCCAGGAGGTGCCATGTGTTGACAGGCTGTTCCCTGGGTGTGCCCATCCCTCGGGCTCCTTGGGAAGAAGAGACCAGTGGGGCAGCCCCTTGGGTTGGGGGTGGAGTGGTCCCACCCAGGCCTCGTGGCTGCACCACGATGGAGGAAGGGTGGGAAGTTCCACCTGGCCTCTGAGAGTCTCCCCATATGTTCCAGTGAGGCTGTGTCTTTGGCAGTCTGTCGCTTCACCAGGTGGCTTAGACCTGAACATTCACGTTATAGACAGGTCCAAAATGTCAACAAGGCCACTGTAGGAACATGGCCTTGAACCTCAAGACCATTCTGCTTATTCTTAATGTTACTGAAATCCCTGTCCATGGCTAAATTGGAACATGTGCTCTCTCAATTAAAGCTCTCTAATCTACCAATTCATCACAGCTGCTTGGTAATGACCTAGAATGGGACATCCTCTGGAAAGGATGCCAAGAAGAGACAATGACTGCTAGGAACTTGCACTGTTCCTGAGTAGATAAGCCCTGTTTCCAAATAGATTGTGCTTGTCCCTAGGTAAGACTTGAACAGCCACGCCAGGCTGGGCTCCACCCCTGCCTGGCTAAATGAGCTTGGGAAGGGTGCTTAATCAGCTTCCTCATCATAAAATGGGTCTAAAGAATTTAAGCTTCCTAGAAGAATGCCTGGCATGTGTAAGTGCCCACTGCTGCTCTTCTGTCACATCACAGAGAGAAGGCACAGGTTCAGAGTGGGAGAGTCAGCCCCCATGCAGTAGGGGGTGTGCTGGAGAGAACAGCGGGGAAGATTGGAAGGATGGGGGGGCACCGAGGGGGTGGGACATGTCATGCTGGGCAGGGTCACACTTAACAGGATGAGGACAGACAGTGAGCTGAGAGCATGAGGGCGAAGGACTGAACAGTGTCTGCTAGAGTGAGGGGGCCAGTCCAGATTAGTGCAAAGCGTTCTTAGAAAGGGTGGTGGGAACGATGGCAGAAAGGCTTGTTGAGAACAGCCTACTGAGGGCCTGGAATGCCACAGTAAGAGGTTTGTCTGTCTTCCTCCCCATGCTTCAGAGTTTAGAGCAGCACGGTGATTGGGTAGATTCTGTATCACGTTGAGAATGTTCATCTGAATGCAGGGCGCAGGAGGGCCCATAAGAGAAATAACAGAGGCGACCCGACAGCACTGTCTCTCCTGGGTGGATCAGGCTGCATGTGTGAAAGCCAGAGGCTCTGGCTCCTGAGTCCTCCCTGACCCACGTGCTTCTCCCAGAGCATCACCCTGGGCAGAGGAGCGATCAGTGGTCGCCCCACGTCCAGGCTGCGGAGAAGAGAGGCTTCCAGTGTTCTCAGGGCACATGGCAGGGGTAGTGGGCACCATCCAGAAGAAGGCTGGGGTCTGGGACAGGAGCAGATCTGAATTAAGGGTCCTGCAACATTGCCCAGGGCTGTCTCTGTGGGAATTGCTCTAAGGATTGGGGGGTAGGCAGAGAGGGCAGGGGCACAAGACCCCTGGCCTGGCCCTGACCGGTCATGAGTTTGATGGCGGGAACAGTATAAGTTGCTGGACATAGCTGGCTGGCCTGGTCGAATTCAACGCAAAGTCCTACAAGCAGAGAGCGCCAGCCTCAGGAAGCGGTAGAGGTTAGCGTGCAGTGAGGGATATTGGTATTTCATAAGGGTTTGGCACGTTTGCTGAGTGATTCTGGCTGTCTGCCCGGCTCTGAGTTTCCTGTTCATAGCTCCCCAGATGTGTCACTGCCGAGGGATTAAAGCCCTTGGAGGCTCTGACACAGGCGTCCCCAAGACCCCACTTTCTCCTTCCTTTGAGACTCTGCGCCAGCTGGGGTGTCTGACAAGATATGAGCTGTCACTCTCGTGCGGCACAGCAGCGACCCAGAGCTCTTTCAGAAAAGGAAAAAAAGAATTAACAACTCTATCCAAGGCTGACTTCAAAACGCACTTTTGTTTGTAATAACCAGTGTCAACTGAGAGGGCTTCATTTGGGAAAAGAAACCGTGCCGGACCACCCCGAGAGCTACCACCTCCTAGGAGGCCAGCCATTCCCAAATGCCCCAAGGATGAGCAACGGAGACAGTAAGATGGTTAATTGCACTACAGTTTTTTTGTTTCTGTATTTTTTCCCTCCCTTGTTTGGTTTACTTACACATTGATGAGATATTTAGGAGGGACAAATGGAATCTGATAAAAGTTAATGTTGTGTTGTTTGTTGAAACAAGATTTTAAGGATTTCTTGGAGTTAATGGGGCTCTATAGGTACACTTAACCTTAGATGTGTGTGTAAGCCGTGTTAAGAAATCACCTATGATTGCCTATGTTTGATTCTGTGGAAGATTAACTATGAAGTATATGGGAAATATATTTTATGACCGTATACTACTGATAAACCGTAAACAGTTATGTGATTTGTGGTAAGTGGTAAGGTTTGTTTAGTGAAGGGCATTGCAAATAAAGTCCTTTCATAATGCTGTTGATGATGTTAGAATTAAGAACTTATTTTATCATTTTTCCATTAAGCTTCCACAGTTTTAGAGGGTCATAATCTCACTCAATGTTTGACTGAGGCACTGCATTATTTTTTAACAGACTTCCGTTGGTTGCATATAAAGTTACATTGCATTGTATTGGCGATACTTGTACACGCTTCCCTCAGTAAGGGTTTCAAACGTCATTTTAAAAGCACGAGCATTTTTTCCCCCAGAGGCTTTGCAAATGTTGCATCTACAGCTATGGGGAAGACTATGCAGTCTCAGAGGGGATCATAAACATTGCCCTGTATTTCTTATTTGATACCCTTAGATTTACGTAATTCCTATTAATAGGGTTGTTGTGTGTATGAATGAGAAGAAAATGGGACAGAATCTGAGAGATTAAAGGAAGGAAATAAAACAAAAAGGAGAACAAAATGAGGTTTACTATTGAATTCAGTGTATAACTCCTTACTGCTCTTATGCAAAATGAGAGTTTTGCGCTGCGTTTGTGAGGCTGTGAGGAGCTGGACGGTGGGGAAGGATGCTCCTCAAGATGCAGCCAGTGACCAACCAGTTTGATGAGTCACAGTGTCCACCCAAGAGGCAACTTGGAGAACAGAATGTACGTTAGATGCTGAGGACTTGTGTTTACTGTAAATGTGTTGATCCATTAGGAAAAGGAAGAAGACAAGGTTGCCCAGAAAGGGCCAGGAATATGTGTTGACATGAATTTGATCTTCCTAGTAGTGGTGATGAGTTTAGAAAGATTCTTATGGTCTTTCTCAAGACAACATGCGGTCGTTCATCTTTGAACCCACAAATGCATTTGGGCATAAACCCGTTAGTTTACTTAGCAGAAAAACTTGACAGGCATGGTCAAGGGATAGTGAAGATCTACTTCTAAAATATGTCCTTTAAACATTTACACAAAGAGCACATGCTCATTGTCAAAAATAACATTTTAAAAAGAATATCATATAGACAATTTTAAATGATGAGAAACAAAAACCCATCACTGTGAGATCAACACTGTTAACATTTTGGTGGGTGTATTTGTCTCTGAATATATTTACATTTTGAAGAAACATCCCGTGCTCCTGATGCTATTTTATTACCTGCTTTTACCTCTCAGTGATATATTGTGAGCATCTTGCCACGGCAATGAATTTCCTTTTACAAGAGCTTTTTAATTGCATCGCATAATTTATTAAGTACTGTTGGCAGATGTAATTGTTTTTCTATTATTAATAATACTAAAACCAACAACCTTGCAGCTAGACCTTTGCATCTCTTCATGAGTTTTCCTTGGAATAAATCCCCAGAGGTGGCATTGTGGGATCAAAGGGCCTAAACATTTTTAAAGCTCTGGATCCCTGCTGCTAAATTAATCCAAGGACAGTGTTTTTAATTCATTTGCCCACCAGCACTGTATGAATACCATTTTCCGACACTCTCACCAGTACTGCGTTTTTTCATTTTTTAAAAAAGTGTGCTAATCTGATAATTGACCAAGAGTATTTTGGCCAAGGGTGTCCTATTTTGTCCGTTTGGGTTCAGCTTCTTATCTTTTTTGGTTATTCATTGCCCAAGCAGCCACCTCTTACCGTAACTTTGCCAACCTAACTTCTGAGGACTTCGACCTCGTTTGATGTCTCTCAGAAAGTCCGCTGAGAGTATGGAGGAATCAGATGCTTTTGCTTTGACTGTTTACTGATTGAATAATCTGCGGCAAACCTCAGTCTTTATGATTTTATCTCCTTTTAGCTATAAAATTCAGAAAGAAAGCCTCTCCCATCCACCTCACAAGATTGTACTGGGGCTAGAAAGAGGCAAGATAGAGGAAAGCTTTTTGAATAGAAAAAAAGTAAAAATGCAAAATGGTGTTATTATTATTGCTGTTATTATAAAATTTAGTTATAGTCTTGCCTTTTAAAATACATAGTTTCTGGAGAGTTGCATGCTGAAATTTTGACATTTTATCTTTTAATTCTAAACTTGGAAAGTGTGTGTGTGCACATGTGACAACATGTGTTTCTATTTCTTTGGTACTGAATAATAATAATAATAATGATAATAGTTAATACTTAATAGAACATTTACAATGTATGAGACCTGGTTCTAAGTACCTCACATTTGAAGTAATTGTTATTATCTTATTTTGCAGATTAGGAAGCTGAGGCACAGAGAAGTGCTTTGCCTAGAGTTATACCAGTAGTTAGTTAAGTTAGTTAGTAAAGACCTGAAATTTACAATACAGGTGGACAGCTTCACTCTGGAGCCCATGGGTTGGTGAGGGTAGGTCTGCCTGAACTCTAGAGATAATGACACGTGGTTTGGGGGCCACTGATGATGTTTGTGCTGCTTACTTGGGTATATAGTTACCATTTATTGAGTCCTCCACAAAGGAATATGCACTATTCTGGATTCTTTACATTTATTATATCCAATCTTTCTCACAAACTTGCGAGATTGGTATCATTATTACGGCTCTAGGGGCCAGACAAGCTGATACCCTGAGAGGTTCAGTCAGTTGCCCAAAGCTAGTGATGAGCGACCCATCAGCCCGCACCAAATTTATTTGGCTTCCAAGCCCTTGTGCCACACTGGCCTGGACAACTGAGTGTTCATGCACTTGGTTCTTCCATCCAAAGGTTCTGAGAGTCCAGTTCTGCTGCAGTGAAAGGTATTGAGCCTGGAAACTCAGCCAAGACACGCCCTCACGTGGGGGTTAGGTGGGGTGCAGCCTCAGTCTCTCTGCATGTACATGGGTCAATGCGAAATGCTACCTGGATCCAAGTTTCGGGCCAGATCCCTCCTGGCGGGACCACTCAATTTATCACATCAGCCTAGACATGATGGATGTTTACAATATTGGGAGACACTTTCCTTATACTTCCTATCCAATGCGCCCACAAATTTTCACCAAGGCAGCCTGGAGAATGTCTGCAAGGAGGCTGGGGTGGAGTTGGGTGAGTGCTATTAATGGCTTGGGAGTGAAAGGCAGCTCTGTTTCCTCCCATCTTCCCTTTGCTCATCTGTTCCTGTTATAAACTGACGATAAGAATATAATTTAAAATGGAATTTTACTTTAAAAAGTTTTCCATAAGATTTTGGAATCTTTAAATATTTTGAGTGGATGACACATCATTTATTTGCTTTTGAATGGATAAGAACTTGAAAGGTTCTTCAGTGAAGTCTCCCTCTCTTCCCTTTCCTCAGATTCCTCTTTCCCTGTTCCTCACCCATAGGTAACTCTCAGTCGTAGTTTCTGGCATTTTCTTTCACACTTATGGTGCACACTGTTCTGTGCCTTGTTCCGTATCTGTATGTAGGGAGCTGGATTTTCAACCTTTTGGTGGACATTTGTTTGCAATCTTTTGCTCTTTCAACCAATGTTGCAATGAATAACAGCCTGCTTGTGTCATTTTGCAGAAATGTTTGCAAGTTGTTGGCTAAATTCCTGGAAGTGGAATTGCCAGGTCAGAGGCTAGGTGCTTTTGCATTTTTGTTATATATTTCAGAATTGCTCCCCCTGCCCCAACAGGTTATGCCAGTTGACAGCCCCACCGGGAATGTTTGAGAGAACGTTTCCCCTCCTACCTGTCAGCCAGCAAGCTGGTTTTTATGAAACTTTAGTAGTCTTAAAGGGGAAAGTAGTAAACTCGGTGTGTTTTCTAAACGTTCCTATCTCGTATGATGACTGAGGTTGGGCATCTATGCGAGTGGTTTGAACCATTTGTGATCATAACCTTTATTCATTTAATGATTGTTTTTTGAGGCCTTGCTGTGTGTCCAGCCATGGGATGCAAGGGTCACACGAAATAGCCAGGTGGCCACATAAATCAACACACATTGTGATTCGTACTATGAAAGAGACAGACAGTGACTAAGGAGCCAAGGTCCACTCTTTGAGGCAAAGGGATGAGGTCTGAGGCATGAGCAGGAGCCGGACAGGCAGAGGGCAGAGGACACAGGCATAAAAGCCCTGTGTGAGGAGCAGAGAGAGGGCCTGTGTGTGGCTGGTGAAGGGGGTTGGTGGGGAGGGGCTCAAGGTGAGCTGGAGACAGAGGCAGAGGCCAGAGAACTGTGGGCATTTGGGGCTGGGGTGAGGAGGTTGGATTTTATTATGAGTTTCAGGTAGATTTTTGGTCATGGGCTGAGAAGATGATGCCAAGGTCTGTAGACCCTTACCTTGTAGAATGCTCACCTGGATGACATCAGGGAGGCCTGGGTCCTTGTACAAGAACCCGTTGGACTTTGTTATGTTTGCCACAAGAGGTCACGACAGGGGTGATATTGTGTATAGGTCTGGCACCCGGGTCACTGCATCTCTTGCCTAGCCCTGTCCTCAGTGTGAGACAAGTGACAAAACCTTTGCTTAAATATAGCCATGGGGACATTTTATAAAAATACATTCTACCCTCTCCCAGAAATAAAACTCAGTTTACAGAGGGCTTTCTCGTTCATTCTCTCGTGTGTTACTAAATTGGCCTGCTGGGTGCTGGGAAGTCCTTCAGGGTTGGACACTCAGGAGAAAGCTGCAAGTGGAGCTTCTCTTATGTCCTTTTCTCCAGGTGTGCATAGGGTTGTCTTAACAACTTTAGA